AGTTTAACTGTTCCCTCTGATTTCTGTGTGGATCCACAGAGAATCATATTCAGTGTAGACTTGGTAAATTCTTATTTCTGTTCCCCGCCCATCCCTGCCCTCTCGTTTTGCAGTTCAAGTGAAGTAAAACAAAACGTGATGTACTGTATTCTGTATGATTTTTTTCAGAGGGTAACAATGTCTTGGAGTAGATGTTGGGAGGGGAACAGGTCGCAGTTATACTACTTTTTTTTTTATACAGGGAAGAAAGAGGCCAAGTGCAGCTTTTGTTCTTTGTGTAGATTCCTTGTGAATTATTCTTTTCATTCCATGTGAGCAGCGTGTTTTGGGTTGCTTGGGAACTGGTGAGTTAGTGCTGGGGGAAACTGGAAAGATCCTGAGCCACAATGGAGGTTGAAGACGAGAGGTGGTGACTGGAGACGAAGTGACTGACCCTGCAGGACACTACACACAAGACAATGACTACTACCCTCAATTTTAAACAAATGGTTAATGTTCTAAACTTGAACAGAAAAAAATAACAGCCTTGTTGGTATTAATATAAATATATTAATATTGTCAATGACTTACTTTTTGTTTTTTCAGTCACTGAAGCATTCTTTTGTATGTCCTCAGACTGTACAGAATCTTGTTAATAATGCCGATGTCAAAACTGTCTAGCAATAGATAATTTGGGAGTCTGATTTTTATTTCCACCCCCTCCTCAGCTGGACGTCTGATTTTCAAATAGGTTCACCTTCACGCTCCACAACAAGATCAGACACAGCGACACATTCGTGTGTGTGTGCTGGAAGAATTACAGTGTCTCTATTTTTGTTTGTTTTTTTCATTTTGAGTGCTGTAAATCCTGAAAGGAAGAGGGTTCCATGTTGGTACATATTCAATTTTTCAGCATTCATGTTTATAGTAAAACTAAGTGTGATTTAAAATGTCTATGCAAAGCTTTTTTTTTTTAAAGTTTGATTTTATAACTTTTCATTTTTGCTTTCCGCTCTGGGTTCCAGAACAATATTTTTGCATGAAACTTTTTAACATTAGTTTCTAATGATTCTACAGGAAATACAGTTTGTGTGCTTGCACAGCATCCACATTATTGAACTGTTTGATCCTTGAGTTACAGATTGCAACTTTATTATTGATTATTCTACCAATTATTTGTCACGAGGAATTGCTCATGTCTATTGCATGACAAAAAATTTTGAATAATGGCCATTACATTTTCACCAGAACCCAAAGTAATGCCCCAAAAAGATTTAGTTTACAATAAAATGTGAACAAGAGGCAAAAATTCTGGGGACAAACAATACACTTTTTCATCACTTTTTCAAAGGGTTGGTTAGGATCATATGAACAGCTAAATCCAATGGGAATTCAAATTTCAAACTAGAAGTGAGGAATCTTTTGAAAATAAGGAATACTTTTTGTTTCTCATTTAAAGACGGTGCAGAAAATCGAAAAAGCCTGGTGAGTTTAGTGTTTGCTGTGACTGCTCTTTCTCTATATGTACTCTTGAATGCAGTTTTTTAAGGGAACTTTCAGGTTTGTTGTTCTGGCATCTTGGATAACTTACTGCTGTTCTTCAGTGGATTCAGTTCTTCACGTGATCCCAGACTGACTCCATGATGTTGAGATCTTAAGACCTGCACGGTACTGCAAGCGTGAACAGAGACGCAGGTCACATTAATGCTGGAAGTCATTTTTTTCTTTTTTTTGGAAATCAGACTTGATAGTTTGTTGGAACAGTTTGATCCTCAGACTGTGGATGAGCCTAGATTCACACCTGAATTTATGCTCTTATTTATGATTATTTTTCAGTAACAGCAATCATTTGATGACTGTTTAGGTTAGTTTACGTTTGTTTTGTCCCACACTGTTGACATTCATCAATTGGTGCATTTACCGGGCGATAAACAGCAGATGTTTAAGATACAGAACTGCTGCTTATCCTTGTGAAGCATCTGCAGGAAAAAATGATGCCGTGATCTTGATTCGAGTCTGATTTTTAGGGTAACGTTGAACTCACAGGTTCTCAAACATTTGGACTTGTGAGCATTAAGAGCCAAGCGGGGACTCTGTGGAGGTTGTGTGTTTATGAGTTGTGACTAAACTGCACTAGTTTTTCGCTGATAAAAGAAATTTCTAAAACAAAAAAACAACTTAACAAATGCCCCCGAACATATCGTAGTTCTTCTTTTCTATGTTGTGGATCATCTCCTATGTTGAGAAACGCTGTCTTAGGGCCTAAAAAGTCACACTGCTTGATCATCTACTGACTGCTATTTGCACTTTAGTAATATGTGGACAGAAATATGTGCCATTAGAAACTGACTTTGAATCACGTTATTATAATTTGACTTTCTCAACTTATTGAAAAAGTTCATTTGAATTACATAAGATGAAATTGAATTTATGAGATTATCCTCAGCTTGAATAATTGCAAGAAATACGAATTTATTAGACGAAAATTGAATTTAGTTACATGTTTGGTTTCCAAAATTTAAATTCAGGGTTTTCATACAGGTATTTAAATTAAGCAATTCAAATTATGGGATTAAGGTTCAGTTTCTAGTAAAACCAGACTACAGAACCACATTGTGTTTTTCTCACAGCTGCAGCTTTCTTATCAGTAACACAATCTGTGCAGCAGAACAGATTCACCTCACCATGCATGTTGTTTCAGCCTCCTATCTGCTGAGTCACTGCTTCCTTGAAACGCCTCTACTTTCGCTTTGCGTTTCCTTTAATTGGTCTGTCCTCAGTGAGAGCAGCAGGTGTCGCTGCTGCTCCTCACAACTCCACCAGCGTGTTCAAGTTTTAGTTTAAGGCTCTAAAGTCAGTTTCTGATTCGTACTTCAAGGGAACGTTAAGGTAAACAACTTGAGGCCAGTTCCCACATGTTCATGATGTAAACATTTATTAGTTAAACCTTTAATGATGTCTGAAACCCACTTTCACATTTGCGAAGCCTTTATTCTATTTGTGAAAATGCAACAAAAAAGGAAAGTGCACTTTTTTTTTCACATCTGGACCAGATCCACATCCAGAACTGTATGTTCATGGTTAAATCTGATTTTCCTTCAGGCGCTAAAGGGTCTTTAAGAAATAGTTTCTGAATCATTTTTCTGTTTCTGAAAATGAAAAGAAAAAGGCAAAGAAATTTGCTGTTTTTTTTCTTATTGTTTTTGTTTTTTTTAACCATGATACATAAAAAAGGTTAGATTTAGACTAGATTGTGTCAGAGAGGCTTGAGGTTCTTGAAAGTGAAGTCCGCTGATTGTGAAACCTTAACTGTATGAGTGAAATTGCAAAAAAGGGAAATTTCACAGCTTTTTTGCATCAGGTTGTCATTATACCGGGACCAAATCTGAAACCACTAGATGTGGATGTGGACCGGTCAAATTTAGTCACAATTGTCCTACAGAGACTAAAGAGTCTAAAACATTTGCTGTTTGTGAAACCTTTATTCTGTTTGTCACAGGGCAAAAAAGGCAAAATGTACACTTTCACTTTAGCATCTGAACCACATTAGAGGCTGAAGGGCATTTAAAACACAGTTTTGGATTTATAAAATGTTTGTTCTAGTTGTGAAAATGCAACAGAAAGGAGATTTCACTGCTGTTTTTTTATATGCAGACCATATTACATCAGGTCCAGACCTACAACCATGATGTGTATATGGGTAAAATCTGGTCTAGACTGTCCTACAGAGGCTTATGGGTCACAGTTTGTAGTTTGTGAAACCTTTTATTCTGTTTGTAAAAGAGCAAAAAAAGAGAAATATTCAGTGCTTTTTCATGTCAATCACATTAAACCAGGTCACTTACACTCACTACATATAAAGGGGTCATGTCTGGACTAGAATGTTCTACATAGACTAAAGAATCTTTAAAACACCATTTGTGGTTCAGCAAAACTTCTTCTAAAATTGCAAACCATTGGAATATCGCAACTTTTTGTTCAGATGGTTTCAGATCCAGATCTAAATCCTCTATATATTGACAAGTCATATCTGGACTAGACTGTCCGACAGAGGCTAAAGAAGCTTTATTGTAAGAACAAAACCAGGAGATTTCACAGATTGACTAGGCTAGGTCCAAAAAATTTCTACACGTAATCTTTTTCCATTTAAAAAAAAACAGTCACGGTTTCACTAATCAGAAACTCTGTCTTTAGCCTCTCTGCCATCATCAAGTCAGGATTTGACCTCAGTATGCAGTTTAAATGTGAACCTAGTCTAATTTGGTCCAGAGGCAAGCAAGCTGTGAAATCCCCATGTTTTGCATTCTTAAAAATTTAAGGAAGTTATAATAAACCACACGATGCTATTTATAGTGGGTTTAGATGTGGATCAGGTCAAATCTGATCTACATGAGAAAAACAAAACAGCTGCCAAACCTCCAGACTTTCTGCCCTTTGACAAGCAGAATAAATGTTTTGGATATTTCAAACAGGATTAGGTGTTTATCTGAAATGTCTAACTCGGTTTTGCATCATTAAAATGTGGGAAAATGTTGAGGATGCTTTAAGTTTCCCTTAACTTTTCCCTTAACTGCAGAATGAGAATCTGACTTCAGCTTCGTGGTGAAAAGGAGCGCAAACGTGCGGTGAGATCATTGGTGCAGATTCACAACCATAATTATTCATTTAAAAAAAAAAAAAAAGGAAAAAAAGAACTCCTGCTACTTTCGGTTTGGAGGAAACGGGAGCAACAGCAGGATAATGGTCTGATGCAACCGGGAGACATGTCGAAGTTGGCTGTGGGAAAAGCAGCCGTTGGCTCACCATCAGGTTCGTGTGAGCAGTTTTGCATAGGAGGCCCAAAAAATAAAAATAAATAAATAAATGCAAATAGCACTGCGGTTAGATTACATAATGGAAACAAGCTCTTCTGTTTTGACCGGCTTTAGATGCTGCATATTCAAATGAGCGCGGCTTCTCACAGGCGCTGGGGGGAGTTCCCGGGGGGCGGAGTCGTGACGCGGCGGGGATTTCCGCTTTCCGCGATCACAAAGCTGATCAAACTGCTCGTTAGGCAGCATTCAACACATGGCTTCGAAGTGTGACACTTCCACGATCAGTTAGAGTTGCTGCGGAACTGACTTATCAAGTAAAGAGGCGCGTTTGGACCGAAACACCGATTTGGAAACGACTCGAGGACGCGGAGCTCGATGAAAGTCTCCTCACATGCGATGAAAGACATGGACATCTTCAACGGTGCCTCTGGTGGGTTGTTTTTTTTGTTTTTTTTTAAAGCGTTAATCGTTGTGTTTTTGTAAGTGTATTTGAGCTGACATCATCCTCAGGCATGTGATTTGTCACAGCAGAGGAGCCAACACCCAACCCGGAGATCGGCGCGCTCCTGCCCGGCGCGCACCCCCACTTCCCTGCTGCTTGTCCGGATCGAGGCCTGGACCTAGGTGAGCAAATGAACCCCAATGAAGTCATGCAAACTCCGAGCTGAGCTGATCTCGTGCAGCAGGAGAAGTAAGGCATCGCCGGTAGTTCTGCTTCCTGGTCTCGCTTCGTGTTGCTGCACGAATTAGTGAAGTTAAAGCGAAACTAAACATTCCAAACAATAAATCAGCTAATATTGGAGTGGAATTTTTATCAGCTAGAAGTGGTGTTAGGCTCTTGACACAATGTTTTTTGTAGCCTAAGCCAGAAAACTTTAGATTTTGACCTGGTAGCTGCACTGTTTAAAAGAAAAAAAAAAAGTATTTCAGAGTAAAATGAGTATAACAAGTGAGACACTGTGCTCCAGGTTAGGTAAGGTTATCCCACTTTATTTATATGATCAGTCCATGTTCCACAATAATATCACAGTGAGTGCAGGCTGGCTACACTGTAAACAACAACAACAACAACAACAACATTGTTTTGAATTGTATTTAAAAAAAAAAAAAAAAAAAAACGATTTCATGTCACTTGCAGACTTTTCATGTTTTGTTGAATTTCAGAGACTGTCTACTTGACCTACAGAAAAAAAAATATTGACTTACATGTTGATCATATACAAACAGACCAAATCTGTAAATGATGTCTCCCTGTTATAGTCATTTGTGTTCCTATTTACCTAAATTAAAATTCACGTGTAAATGATGAATCACTTGTTAAACTTGTTGCCAATGCATTTGGCATGTTTCAGTGTCAGACATGACAGACCGCAAAACCGACTGCATGTCACGTTTCACTGCTGGTAACCATAGCAACTGTACTAGTTAACTTTCCCTTTTGAAACTCGCCTAACTACGAGACACGGCCTTGTTGTTTGCTGCTGTAACACCGATTTATGCCAGAAGCAGTGTTTGTTGATCGGTTAGCTTCAATACAGTCAGAATACTGAAATATGCAACATTTAATTTTGTATTTCATAGAATCGTAAAGTTTTATTGATGTGGAAACCCAGAAATAAACATCATTTACTTAGAAATATAAATATTGATAATATACACCTGCAGAAATCATATAGAAACTCCGCCTGGCCCAGCTTCTTATTTATCCCGAGGTTGTACTGGTCTCCATCATTTTGTGAAAACTTTTTTTTCTTTTGTATAGAGCTGCTTCAAGGAATTATCTTCGAGGACACCAAGTCAGGTGCTTCCCTCCCCGGTCCTCCTCCTCCTCCTGCAGACCTCCTTGGACAGAACCCTCTAAACCAGAACCACAGGAGACAGAACGCTTCACCTTCATCTAATCCGATACTGGTGTCACGAGGTGCTGCATGTAAGGTGGGTATCTTTTCTGGTGCGTTACTGCAGTGTGACGTAGTCATTTGTGTTGTTTGTGTTTGGTCTCGTCTGGTTTCCCCCTCATGTAGCGGTTACAACAACCAGAGTGACAGTTTGCGACACCCAGGAAAGTGTTTGCTTCAGGTGTGGTTTATGTGTTTAAAAAAAGGCAATGGGGCAGTTTGGGGAACGACGTGGCACAGATACAGTTTAGTATTAAAGGTCTTAAATTTCATTGTAGTCTGTTGTCTTTTGTAGTTTTAGTTCTAAAAATGTCAGGATGCATGAATGATGCAAATGTGTGCATTTTTTTTCTTTAGATCAGGCCATATTTAACTAATATGGTGTTTGTTATATACTACTGAAAGCACTGACAAAAATGAATGAATAATTCTTATACCTACTACTCCTCATGGATATTTTTCATATTTCGGCCGGTATAGCCACACAGCAGGTAGTAAATTAGTTTTTTTGTGGGGTTAAAAATGTTCTAAAAAGTCTGAACAGAAGTTGGGGAACCCTGCAGAAATACTGTTATTACTGCATAATAATCAAAGGTCAGTTGTACAATTTAGGGAAACTGTGATATTTAACTTTTTCCTTTAAAACCTGTGGCTGGTCACAGCTTTTCTTTATCCAAAGTAGACTACATGTATGTTTGATTAATAGATTCAGCCAGTCAGTCTTTAGAAATTTTATAGGTAACATTTTTTTAAAATTATAAAGTAAAAATCGAAAGGAAAAAAAGGTTCTGGCTTCCCAAATGGGAGAATTTGCTGCTGGGTTAGATTGAGGTTTAATTTATGGTTTAAACAGTCAGTAGTCAGTCTGACTAGCGTGTTGGAGATGTTACCTCATGGCTTTCCATCTTCTGACATTATAGAGGCTCTTTGAGCAATAATGAAAGTAAAATGATGGAAACAAGTTCTCTATTGCATAGAGTGAGTACATGAACACTGACACATGTAGAAGACTGTTCATGTATATTTATCACTTTATTTGTCAGTATTTACTTCATGCTGCTGTTCAAAGTGTGTTCATATGTAACTCGGCAGATGAAGCTTCAGTTGGGCTTCCTCTCTGTTAGAATGTTAAACAAAGAGGTAGCTGCAGCTTTCAAGAAGAGGTTTTTTTCGTAATTTTTGAAAGCTGGTGGAATAAAGTGCAGCATGGTACATGTGGATGGTTGCAAGTTTTGATGCTGCACAGAGCAGCAGCTCCGGCTCTGAGCAGAAAGCACGTGGTTTCCACGTAACAGGGAGATGAGAAGAGCTGTAATCTGATCCGACTGCAGTGACGCTGTGGCCTGCACACACAGGTAACGATGACCGGTTTTACCCTCTGTCAGCCAGTGTTTCTGCTAAATCACGTGTGTGAGTACAGTTTGTTTGGTGTGTTAGTGATGGCGGCTGACACACCTCCCAGCATGCTTTTCAGTGGGAGGAGGCTGAGAGGAAGGGAGGAGGAGCAGGAGGACGTCTGGGAAGATCTGTACTGTGACTCCTGCTTTCATTTTGCCTTCATTTCTGTTTACTGGCCAAACCCACCGGAGGTGAAGGGTTGCTTCTGTGATTGGTCGAGGCTGAGCTGAGTTCCTGTTTCCCGTTCGCTGGATCGGCCTGCCAGGCTTTTGTTTAGGATCAGAGTTTTAAGGCCAACACGTATGCCGATACAGAGACTAACACTTTGCCATCAGACGTCTGAGCCTCGACGGGACATTGTGAAACTTGACCTCATGCAGAGGCATCACCCAGATCTCTGCAGCAGCACTTTAATGAGCTCTCAGGCTGTTTCACTGCTGCACGGCTGACAAAGGAGCCTTTACTTCTTTGTTCCCTGCAGGTTTGATTATTAATCTGTTGTTGTGTCTGTGCTTCAGATAGTCCGGAACTTAAGTGTTGGTTTGTGAAACTTGTGTTTGTAATGCTTTTGCTTTACTTTACATCATGTTGAAGCCAATCAGGAAGAGAAATGGATGCGGGAAGAGCCCCGCAGATAGAGAAAGTAAAAGAGATATTAAGTGTGAGTGGGAACGGAAAAGCTCAGTGGTCTGTGGTGTAACGGAAAAAAATAAGACATCATATACAAAAGGAGGAGTCAGAGAGCACATGGTTGACGCTGTGCACTGATAGAAAGCACATGTATGACGGAAGAACATGCAGTGAGTCAGTTGTGTTGCTTGTTTTTACTGCGGGCTTCATCTGCAGAGCTAATACCTGAGAGACATCTGGTTCTTGGTGGTATAAAAAAACTAGTTTGGAGGTGTTCTTTTTCCTCTGACTGTAAGTTATTGTTGTTTTCTTTGTCTGTGTGGTATTTCACTTCATTTAAAGTACCAAAACAAGAATGTAAAATGCTCTTGTAGAAGTACATACGGTAAAACAACATCAAATAGCTAATAGCGACACGTTAATGTTTAAGAAGTACTATTTCTTTATTGTAGGAGTCAAAGTTAAATTTATTTATGAAGTACGTGTAAAAACAACCAGTTGATCCAAAGTGCTGTACAGTGAAAATAGGAGGCCATAAAACACCATAAAATGCAATAATAAAAAGAGAAATCTGCGCTAAAGTTTTTGAAATAATCCGAATAAAAGATACAACACAATAAGAGATAAAGTCAAGGTGTTGAGATTTACTTGAATTGAATTCCATATAGAAGAGGTGGATCTTCAGCAGCAGCTTAAGTGCTGAAAGGAGTTCAACATAGAACTAGTTTTCACTTATTTTTACAGTTAGTAGTTCAGTCTGATGGTAAAGTCACAAAATACAGCTGAGGGGTGGTGATATGTTTAATGAGGTTGGAACAACATGCGGCAAAACAAGTTTGTATCATGAATTTTGGTACATTTCTCAACTATGCCACTTTTTTGGTGTGAAATATTGGAACAGTTTATCCGTTCTGGGCCACAAATGCTTGTTTAAATGAAACTATCTGAGAAATTCAGAAGGAAAATGTCTTGGACAAGGCATTTTTATAAGGTTTTATATATATACATTCGGAGTATAAATTTTGTGAAAATTAAAATGCACAAGTAAACATAAAGTACCTCAAACCTGCACTTAAGTCTGTAGAACCCGTGGATGTTGTAAGTTGTAAGGATGCTGTGGTTATAGACATTTAGGTTTTTGATTGGACGAAGAAACTGTGATTGAAGTTAGGTTTTTCTTTTTTAAGCAAAGTGAAGTCCAGTCGCGGCCAGAAAAAAAAAGTGAGAGGAGTCATATTGTCAGCGAACTGATTAAAAAAGCAAAATCTGTCTAAAGTTTGCTAACAATAGTCACCATAAACTTGCGATAACACCGGGCCACATGGCAGTAAACACTCTGACTGGGTTGATTATGATTGCTTCATTTAATGGTGGCTTGAAAGCCATTCTGGGCCTTTGTCCATCATATTGCTGCTGGTTTCTATGACACAAGTCAGTTTCATCATTATCTCGGGGTATAAAACACAAACTGCAGCCTTACAAAGAAACGTCAACTGATGAGTTTGCTATTTTAATGGCTGGCTAATGGTTAATTTGTATGTGATCAAGCCAGAGTCTTTTTATGTTCTTTTATCTGATGTCTGATGCATATTTTTTTTCCCTGTCAGGTCTCTTGTCAGGTAAATGTTAAACGTGCTGTTAATAAAGTTGTGTTGTTGTTGTTTTTTTCACAGCCAAACTTCTCTGCACTGCGGGGGGCGTCCCGTCCCAGAGACATGGCGTCGACTCATCCTTCCCGGGTTGCTTCCTCCTCCTCAGCCGGTTCCTCTGGATGTGGGAGAGTCTCCTCGAAGAGCAGCGTTTCCTCTCAGAACCAGGGCGACACTGAGATACTGGAGCGGATTCTGGAAAAGCCCAAACTGGTGATAGTGGAGGAGCCCAAAGACAGAGGGATGAGATTTCGCTACGAGTGTGAGGGGCGCTCGGCAGGCAGCATCCTGGGGGCGTCCAGCACTGACACCAACAAGACTCAGCCTGCGATAGAGGTATTGGAGTTTGGTTTCTATTTCAGATCTTAAAGGGGGTTTACTGGCTCTCAGAGACGGTTAGGAAGGGTTGTAACCACAGCTGATGTGTTCACTTGAACCCCCCTCCTGTGCAGACGGGTGGAGCTGGGAGGATGTGGGTTGATAGAATCAATTAGAAAGTCCCCACAAATCCCAGATTGAGTGAGGTTAAACGCAGGAGGTTCATCACCAGCCTATATGCTAACTAACACTCCCACGCACACATCTTCACCTCTTCTTCACACCATCAGAAAACATGCAAAGGTTTACTAGCAGTTTGTGTAACTGTCTAGTTATTCAAGCAACATCTTTGCTAATGTGTAGGTTAATGTGACATAAGTATTTGTGATTTAACTGGTTCCTACACATTGAAAAAACACATGAAAATGAATATTGTCCGACAGAAACACAGAGCAAAAAGACTGACAGGAACACTGGAACAGAAAAAAAGAAGACCAGCAGTCAAAGGCAGAGAAGAACGAATATTAAACCTCTGAACTCAGTTTTTGGGCATCTTTTATTCCTGTTACATTTTTCCTCACTGTGGACTCAATATAAAGTCCTGCACCTCTATGGAAACAGCACAACCATGACTTGAGGTAAAGAAAACTTAACAATGTCTCTTGTGCAGTATGACAAAGTTATCATGTTCTAAATCACAAAAAAAACCCCAAAACAAACATGACATTTCTCTGATTATTTATGTAACAAAAACTAAATAAAAACCTGGAATCCACATCTACAACATTTCCCTAAGTATCCACAGATGTTACCAATACTGGAATGATTGCTCTGCATACCGTAGATATATTTCTACTTACATTTTTCATTTGTTTCCATACTTGTCTTCTATGTGCTATGTGTACACTTCCTGCAGCTCAGCCAAAAAGTCCCTAAATTTTAATGTGGTTGCACTGAGGAGCACAGAATGTTTTTTTTTGTTTTGAAGAAGAAGAATGTGGTTAAAGCACACAATTTTTAAATGAGACATGTAGAATAAATGGATTTCTGAATACAGTTATTCTAAGCTTAGATTTGATTAAGTTTTCCAAATGGAACGGTTCATCACAAATGATTAGTTCATGGATAGTTGGACTGTTGACAATCCAACAATTCAATCTGTCTTCACAGTTTCTGGCTCTGATAAATAGCTGAATCTTTGCAACAACAAAAAAAAAGAAAACATGACTTTTAAACCAGCCTGCAGATTTTGGAGTTTGGGGCTCAGTTCTGAGAACACTTTGGACTCTTGTATGTGCAACATTTGGTAACTTTTTGACTTATTATAGAAAGAAATAATCATCAGTTTAAGTATTTGTTGCTGTTTTTATTTTTCTGACTTCAACAGTTGGCAAATGATTGCATGTTGCAACACTCAGTATGTTGTGTACGTGTGTGTCCTGTGATGACATGGTTGATTAGATCATAGCTCGGGGAATAATTCATCCAACCAGGGTAACATAATTCTCAAAGTTACAGTGATCTGCTTCAACTTCAGGTCATTTGTTGATCGTCTTGTTGTCTCTCTTTCAGATTCAGGGTCCCATTGACCACTTAAACAGGGTCACTGTCACTGTCTCCTTGGTGACCAAAGACTACCCACACCGGCCTCACCCCCACTGCCTCGTGGGTAAAGACTGTCCGAACGGTTCAGGAATCTGCAAGGTCACGTTTAATCCTCACAGCAACCGACGTCACAGGTGCACATCCGCCTCGTCTTTATCTTCAGATACATAAAATAAGATTCATGAAGTCTTTTTTTTTTTTTTGCATTTTAGCTTAATTGTTTTTTCTTTCTCTGTCTAAACATACAAAATGTCCTGACAGACTTTTTTTTTTGTTCTGAACTCGCAGCTTTGCTAACCTTGGTATTCAGTGTGTACGGAGGAAAGAGCTGGACATTTCACTTCAGAAGAGAAAAGGCCTAAATATTGACCCATTTCAAAGTGAGCTGGACTTCAGTAATAAATACAATTTCTGTTTTTTTTTCTTGTCAAAATTCATTATGGCTCCTTGAAGCAGACATCGTGACTGATTTTTGTGTCTTTTCATCCCTCAGCTGGTAACTCAAAGGGCATTGAAGACATGGACATGAATTCGGTGCGTCTGTGTTTTCAGTGTGAGCTCGACTGGGAGGATGGCAGGAAGGACTCTCTCAGCCCAGTGGTGTCCAACCCCATTTATGACAAGAGTGAGACATTACAAAACACACCAATGACCACATTATACCCACATGTGCTAATAAAAACCAACATATTTCCTGATTCTCACGCTTTGCAATGTCTGGTTTTTTCTTCTTCTTTTTTTTAAAGAGGCCACGACGACATCGCAGCTGAAGATCTGCCAGTTGAACCAGTGCAGAGGTTCCTGCTCTGGCAAGACGGAGATCTACATGCTGTGTGACAAAGTGCAGAAAGGTAAACGGAAACGTTCAGTGAAGTTTTATTTCTGTCCGTGTGTGAAGTATGTAAGAGGATGGACGGAAGTGGGCTCAAACAGTGAAGCACATGGAAAAGGCCCAGTTTCCACTGCAAAATTTAAGTGTAAATAAACACTGTCTGCAAAAATGAATCGAGCAAACAGAACAGAAAGACGTGGAGTTTTATCGTGATAAAACTCTCCCTCTTTGAGCTCCTAAACTTTAGTTAATTATTGAACAAAGTATTGTCGTTATATAAAAAAGAAAAAAGCACATCTCTGACCAAATCATGGTGAATTACTTTATTTAAACTAGTTTTTGTTGAATTTTCATTCAACTCAGAGATTTCTCTTTTACTGTTATAGCAGAAACCCAATTGTCTTGACTTTTGTTACTTTTCATTGTGGCCTTTGTGTTTTGCACGTGTGTTGTCTTTATTTTAGAGACGTTTTCCTGTCCTACATCTGCAACTGCTAATGTTAAACTGGCAACACTATAAGCTGACTTGTGCTGTCACAGAAACATGTTCAAAGAATTGCATTTGTTATACATCAGTTAGTTTTCTACTTGATTTACAGCAATTGTTGCCTGAATTGTTGTTTTTTGTTGATAGTCTTAAGAAAAAAACGATTTCCATACATTGGTATATCCTGCAGTATTTTTAGAGTGAAAAATAACATTAAAAATCAAGGTTGAGTATTTTTGAACTTCTCTTAAAGCAAAAAAAAAAGAAAGTATGAAAATGGTTTAAAATAGACAACAGTTGGACTTCAAACAATGTAATCAGGATAAAAACCTGTTTTTGTATCAGCCTCATTTTTCTTGAATAATGAGGCTCTGTGTGTTTTGTCGCTGATTCACAGACGACATAGAGATCATCTTCAGGAAAGGGTCGTGGAAGGCGAACGGGGAGTTTGCCCAGACAGACGTCCACCGGCAGATCGCCATCGTCTTCAAGACTCCGCCCTACCAGGACCAGGACCTCTCAGAGGAGGTGGAGGTCAAAGTCCTCCTGCGTCGCATCTCTGACAAGATGGAGAGCGAGCCGGTTACCTTCACGTACCTGCCGCACAACCGGGGTCAGTGGGGAGTAAACCGAGTAAACACCTACATGGGTTAAATTTACAGGTTATGAAACAGATGCGGCTGGTTATACTCAAGCAATAACAGGTGTCTTTTCATTTCAGATCCATATGAAGTAAAGCGAAAGAGAGCGACCATGAAGTCAGAAATCAGCATCACAGAGAAACCCTGCATGACAGGTAAGGCTTGGACTTCCAGGTTGACTTTCTCTTCGTTCATGTTTACTTTTTCTGGTCCTAGTTGAAGCACTGAAGAGGGTTATTGGTTCAATGATGCTGGTCACCTTTGTGTCTCTGTATAGACTGCAAACATTTAGACTTATCATAGCAGGAAGCACAGTTGTTACTAATAACATCAGCTCTGTTCTAGTGAAGCTGGGCAGGTGCTGTTTATTTTCACGCATCTTGTGGGTCGTGTTCACTCAAACTGCATGCTTTTATTGGACTTTTTGTCTTGCTTGTCGCTTTTATGCTCTCACCGTGCAGATATACTAAATGAAAATATAGAATCCCCAGTTGGTTTTGTCAGTTTCAGTAAAGTTTATTAAGATCACAACCACATCCTCAACAGTGCGGACAAGAGAAGAGGCAGCGTTTCTTTGTGTGATTCTACAATGAACAGAAAGTTAAGGAAGTTTTTTTTTTTTTTGCATAAAGTTGAGTTTAATAGCACAGTTTGTTTTAGGACGGTAAAATGAAGTAATGATAAAACAAGTTCACTATAGTTTTATAATGCGTCTTTAGACTGCAGCCACGAGGGGAAAGTGCAGGAAAGCTGACCAAAATTCAAAATGCCAGAAATCAAACCCAGATTGTTCAGGCAGTTAATATAATCACACATAACTACACATCAAATGTTGGCCAATCCTCCAGACATCTAGCCTGATTATAAAATAAGTCAGGGGGGACAATTTAAGGTTAAAATCAGTCCTAATCCATGCAATGTCACCAATGACAGGGTGCTTTTCATTGTGCTAACGTGCCACTTGCATCTATTCCTCATGTCTCAGAGGACGAGATGCAAAGATGGAGGAGATGAAGCTGCCAAATGAGACATTTTTTTATGCGTCACGCTTTCGTGACGCCAGTTACACAGCCGTTAAATAAAACTGACACCCATGACAGGTGCAGCATGGATATGTCGCATTGCTTGATAAAAGATGTCTGTGTTTCACCTGTGTTTCCTCAATCTAATCTCCTCCAGAAGTCTGACAGGAGGCAGCGAGAATGCATTGTTAGCATAATGAAAAGGAGCGGCATTGTGACACTGAGCCAGCAGGCAGAATACCAAAACCCTGCCAGTGTTAATTCTTTTTTTTTTTACACCTGTGACTCCTGTTAAAAAAGGCCCATTGTCCAAGCTCGCTCACTGGCAGGACTTACGAAGAAACCTGTTGTGAAACACAACTGGGCTTTTCCTGCTACAACAAGTCAACAAATCTGCTGTGAAAGATTCCTATTAAAACTGAATCTCATCATCTGGTTTCATGAATATTCTAACTGTGAACAATGAATGAGTCGAATAAGAAATATTTCTTTTTAAAGCACTTCTTTATAGCAGATTTTCAAAAAAGAGCCCTCATGCCTTTCAACACATTTTCATTTTGATACATCAGCTTTCCTCAGTGTATGATAACTTGTCACATGAGGATGAGTCACATGACACCATGATTTTTGCCCAAACTGCCCAAACTGACAAAGCTATACTATACAGACATGTGAATGAAGAAGCCGCATGTACAGTTTATGACATGTGACTGTGTCTAAAATGGGATTATTACAGGAAGTTTAAAAATAACAAAAAAACTTTCTGTGACCCAGCTGTACGGAGCCCAACTGGGGTGAGAATTTTTCAAATTTGAATCACCTCTTTATGCTCAATGCTTCCTCTGATTCATATAAACAGTTAGTGTGCAAGACCAGTTCAGTTATAACACACTGTCTGTTTAGGGAAACGCTCTGCGGATACGACAGACAAGAGAGAGCATGCACATCATTTATTTTGAAAAGGCTGATCTCAGACGGCATCCAGCTGCTGGTTGTGAGCTCAGCTGCAGCTGCTCTGTCTGGCTGTGATGGTGAAGCTGTGGCTTCATATGTACGTTTACTGTTCCCACTTCAGCTGCTGCTGTGGTTCAATCTCTTGTGCCGTGAATGTGTCCAGCTGTTACTATTTGAACCTTCGATGCTTCTTCAACAGATGGGATTATTTGTTTACTCAGGAGATGGCCAGCCAGCAAAACTATGATTGCACAAATGCACATTGCTGCTGCATGTAGTCGGTGTTACATCTGTTAGAAACGAATGTGTCGCAGCCAGAATCGTAACAACGGCTGACGGTGCATTGATTCACTCTGTACTTTTAACTGTATGCGCTTGTACTATGTTAGACAATCATGGAGCCTGTAGACAGCTGCTGGTTGTGACTACAGAGGGTCCTACTAAGCCAGATTAAAGGGTAGCGAGTTATGTTGAGCCTAAAACCAGAGATAGGAGATCACCATGGTAACTGATGCTGCAGAGCTAACCTGTTCCACAGGTTCTGTTCAGAGTTTAGTAGTTGCCATACTTTGACAATTGCACTGAACAAAGCTGTGGCACAAATTGTATTTATATTTAGTCCTCAGTTAGATGGTTAATGAGTTTATTGGTATTTATCACAGAGAATATTCAGTCAGTAACATTAATTTCAATTTGATTTGGTTCTAAATAAAGTGATTTCCACGTATCCTTTATTATGGGACAGTGTCAGACCTTAATTAAGTATTATGTTTAAATATATGAAGTTTTAGGTTAAAGAGCTCTGATAGGCAGCTTTCATGTGAGTGTTGTCTTGTGCCGTTAGTGGGAAAATTCACCTTAATTTACATGATCGACGAGTTTCTACCATCATTCCTCTCTCATTTACAGTGGAACAGTTTTAACTGTAATACATTTTGTCTTCCTCATAGCTTCCCATTATAACAACCTGTTCCTCTTGTGTGAAGTAGGTGTCATACATCAGTGCCTTTTGTTTGGTTGATTTAGCCAAATGATGCGTCAAACACACCATTTATGAGAGCGCTGTGACTGTTGGGATTCCCATTATCTCTGCTTGGGGTTTTGGCTTTTGTCAAACCAGTTAATAGACAGAAAACCTGCTTACGTCAAATTTTGAACTTCCCTCAGTTATGTCTGTCAGGCACAAGTCTGCACCAACACATTTAGTGTTAGTGACCTCTAAGGGGCTTTGTACAAGGTCACTGATACACACTATGAAAGAAGATATAGTATTGTATCCATATCACTTAGATAAAATGGTGTTTATGTTGAAACAGTTTTTTCTGATATTGATTTAAATCTGGAGGGTTTCGTTTGTGAACCGTGCTGCTTAATACAGAAAGTTGTTCCTGTTGAGCGCTTTCAGACACGGAATGTGGAACATTGGTGGCTTCATCAAGCTACTAAAGTGACGACATTCTAGTTATTCAGACATAGGTTAAGTTCCTCATGGTTTTATTGAGACATGCCCACGCATTGCCAGAGATTATTTAACCTTCTCTCATTAATGCAAATGGTGCTGACAACTTATGTTTCTCGGTGTAACTCAATACAGTTCAACAGCACCACAAAACAACACCCTTAAAAAGAATAATAGAGCTGAATCAACACCTCTCTAAGATGTTTTAAACAAAAAGTGATTCTTATATTCTTCTTGAAGGATGGGTTATTTGGAAGACTTGCACTGAGTTCATTTTAGCAGGTTGCACCTAATGAATTGGTAGTTGCATTTTTAAAACAGCAAGAATCACATAATTGGTTATTTTATTAATTTTCTCTGTGATGCCTTCTGCAGCTGAGACCACGCCTCCATCAGAACAGGTCATCCCCTTCCTCCTGGGGAACCAGAACATGATGTCTCCAGGTGAGGGGTCGTGCACTGCTCAGCCCACCGCTCCTGCTGTGGTGGACATGTGTTACAGTGAGCCCGCAGACCTTGACAATGCCATCTTCAATCAGCTGCTGGAGTCGCCTGAGCTTTGGCGAGCGCTTAATGACCTGGACTGCGGCCTGCCCTGTGACCTGCCACCTGCCGACACCAACTCGACCTTCGCCAACACGGACATGAACTTCAACCAGAACGTTTCCTCGTATCAGCCGGACCTTCCATACATTGACTTGCACTTTAACATGCTCGTCAACGAGAGCCACAATCCGCAGTCGGAGCCACAGGACGGCATGGGACAGATGCAAACGGAGCAGGACGGCATGGTTCACCTGAATCATGGTGTCCTGAATCATGCCATGCCACAGGACAGCATGGTTCAGGTCAAAATGGAAGAGGACGGACAGCTATGAGGATACGAAAGTCTGGACCATGTAGCACAATTAAGGTCAACTCATGGTTTCCACAAATCTGAAGTGGACAGAAGGTGTGCTCGCCTTTCTGTTCATGCTGCAAAAGGTACACATTAGTTTACTGTCTGGACTCTTGCAAACTTGGCTGGACGACGAACTTTCCGTCACATGAACCCTTACCAACCCGGAAAGCATGAATTGGCCTTTGGCACACTCTGTCCGTCGTCCTTTGACAATGTCTTTGGGCAATGTCACTTTCTTGGCAAAGTTAGAAACCACTGTCATGTCTGTAACAGAAGATGGGAAGCTACAGCTAACAGATTGTTAGCTTAGCGTTAAACTGAAAATAGGGGGAAACAGCCTCATTCTCAGTTTTTGTGTAATCAAACAAAGAGAATTGAGCTTTAGAGACATTGGTAGTCACTTTAACAAAGCAACACCAGCTGTGTCCCCTTGTTTCTAGTGTTTATGCTAAGCTAATCAGATAGTCTGCTTTGTATTCAGCACAAAGGTATGAGTTTGGTATCAATAGTCTTATCAACTGCAGTTTATGTTGCTCCAGCTGCTTGCACTTCATAGCGTTGTTGTAGATTCATTTGGTTTCACAATTCTGCAGTGTTGCCCTCTATTTTTAGTTTTGTCTTGAAGCCTTGCTGGTCGAGGCTTTAGCAACCAGGAGCAGCGTTCTTAAATATTTCCCATAAAGGCTGCAAGCATTAACTTTAAAGCTGACAAGTCAGATGTAAGTGATTCTCAGTTAGCATGGAGCTTAAAAAGAGAACTCATAAACATCTCCATGCAACCTAGGAACAATAAAAACTTCCATAAATCGCTGCCTGCTCTAGTAAATCATTGGCTGATGTATCAGTCATGTAATATTTGTGTAATGTTTGTTTGCTTCAGTGTGATGTTGGGAAAAATCCTTCTCAAAGTTGGCGGCAGTACAAAAGGATTTTATCTCAAATAAAGTCAGTAGTGTCAGGTTCCTTCATGACATCTGTTGCTCTCTGTTGATGTGGCTGTCACAGCTGCTTAATATTTAATCTACTTAAATATAATAGAAACCGCTCCTCCTACTATTCATAGCTCTGTTTGTGTCAGTTCCCTTTGTTCTGCAGTTTCACTCTCGTGCTAAGCATTTTAAGCATTTTCCAAATGTCACATGTACAACTCTGCCTCCTCACTGAAATGTAAATACATCAAAGAAAAAATAAACGTCAGTGTGTGGTATTTTTGTCGTGGCATTACTTCCTGTTAAAACGACAGAGAAAGGCAAAGGAAGAAAGATTAGAGAGCGACAAAAAGGGATGTAAGCACTTTTGAATGCGATCTGTCCTCAGCTGCTGCCCACACACATTCCTAACCTGCTTTCTCACTCGTAAAAACAAAGAACTCTGGCAGCGACGACAAGCAGAGGATGCTTTTTTTGCTTCGCGCATCTCATCTTCGAATGTCATCACCGTCTCAAGAGGATCTTGAAAGTTTACTCAGGAAATTAGAAACAAAGCCTTGGGATGTACTGTGTCCCTTGTTTGGGGTTACCAGACACCTTGAGGTCCGTTTAGTCACAGTGTCTAAACCTCACACAAGCAAAACAATGACTGGTTTTATTCTCCACAACACGGCTGTCACATTTTACAGTAATCCGGGCTGAGAAAAATACTCTATTTCTGCTTTTTTCTCTGTGTGGTCTCTGATGACTCACACGCGTGTTTTGTAAGGCCTGTGGTTGTGCGGAAAGTTAAAGATTGAGACAGATTGGGAAATTAACGCCACTAATTTTTAACCGTCATTTCAAAAATATCAAATGTTTCTTTACACAGCTATCAAGTTAGTCACATTTGGAGCATGTTTTTCTGATTGATTGACCTAGTTTTTGATTCTATTTATGGTAGACATTTCTTCCAGCAGTCGCCAGTCATTCATGTTTTTACATTCTGTACTATCATTGCGACTGGTAGAGTCCACCATTCATGCCATGAGTTAAACTGCCTTTGTCAACACATTCCAAGTAATATAAAACAGAAAAAAGCAGTAAATCTTTACATTTGAGCAGCTGAAATTAGTTATTTTAAGACACTAGTGCTTAATAAGTACCTTTAACAACTAAAATTCATCACATTTTATTCACCATCACGCCCATAAACCTGTTTCTATTGTACAGTGAAGTGAGAAGTAGTTTAAATATTTAACATTCTCAGTCATCCATCTTTACACTGGCTTACTTCATGTTAGAGCAGGTGTTACCTTTTCTGGCTCTGCCCGTCACTGTTGACTTGACCTGAACAGACGCCGGGAAACTCCACACTGGGCTCATTTCCAAGACCTTTGATCACCATGAAGAGAGAGAGAGATACACTTAATTTCCTGTGAAATGGTACCAGCATACCCACCGCTCAGACGTGTCCGGACATGTCCACGCTATCAGTTTGAACAATGGTCATCCTCTCTGCTGAAGGCAGGAAAGAGGCTGTTTAACACTTTCAAGTGCACATTTTGATTGCACAGATGTAGTTGACTACATAGGTAGAATAGGTTCACAGGACTTTTAGATTTAGTTGTATAAGCAATGAGCTTTTTGCTCTAAGATTAAAGCAAGAACATTGATATTCACTTATGTTTAAAGAAATAAGTTTACATGTAGGGATGCTTTTGAGATGAGACTTGGGTGAGAAAATTGTACCACTCTCATTTCTTCAGTGCCTCGAAAAAGTTTTTATTACTTTTCAATAGAGGACCAGGGTCAATTTGATTTGGGTTTTTGTTGACAAGAATTTCCATCCATCCATTATCTATACACCACTTAATGCCCCCACCAGGACGCAAACCGGTGACCTTCTTGCTGTGAGGCAACAGTCCTAACCACTGACCCACGTTGCAGCCCTGACAAGAATTTACATTTTAAAAAAAAACAACTACGACGAAGTGATGACAATTAATTAAAAACATTTTAAGTTAAATAGGTGACGACATAAGTGTTGACTCCTTTTAAAGTAAGCCCCCTAATTCAACACAAGTGCAGCCATTTGGTGCGAGAAGTCACACAATTAGTGAAATGAAGATAATCTAAGTGTAGTCAATAAGTGACCATGCAAGAAAGAGACTAGTAAAGGATGACACCAGGACACCTACGACTCCTCCGAAGGAGTCACAACCTCCAGCAGCTGATATGGTGACACTGTGCCACAGAAAGCCACGGTTATAAAAACAACAACCTCAGAACAAAGAATCTTCCAGTTAACTTCAAGTTTCTCTCAAGCCTTCTGCCAGTGTAGATTTAATATATATTTAATATGAGCTTTTCTCAACAGTGGCTTTCTCTCTTCCACTCTCCCATAAAGTTTTGACTGGTGAAGAACGTGCAACAACTGTTGTATGCACAGTATTTCATATCTCAGCCTCTAAAGCTTGTAACCCCATCAGAGGAGTTGTAGGTGTCTTGGTGGCCTTCCTCACTTGTGTTTTTCTTGCATAGTCATTCAGTTTTTACATGCTGTCTCTTATTCCTTGCCTTTAGTCCAGGGAATAGCCAGTGACTTAAAATTCTCTTGTATCCATTCCCTAACCGATGCTTTTTAGTAACCTTTACAGAATTGTGTTGTTTTGTCTTTATGGTGTTGTTATAGCCAGGAGAACTGATTCACCAGTAACCGGAGATTCCAGTTCTAGGTGTTTCTATCCTACAATCACTTGAGACACCTTCACTGCACTCAGATGATCACCATTTTACCTATTGTGACACTTCTAACACCAACTGGCAGCACTTGTGATCAATTAGATGAGTGACTTTAAGGATGGTACAAAGTTATGCAATCACTTTTTTTTCTATTTTCTATTTTTGTTGAACTGACATTAGTTTGCAAAAATCTGTTTTCAGATGAAAAAATCTATTTTTTGCAAATTCTTGTCCAAAAGGCCAGATTAAATTGTTCATGATGTAGATAGAAGTAACAGCTTAATTTCTTCTAGTGGTAATTCAAAGACCAAGAGTTGAAAAAGTGATGGTGTTACTTTCCTTTTCTTTACCTCAGTGTGATAAATTTAAGTTCTAGCTTGGTTCATTGTCTGAGGTGTGGTTGCTTTGTGGAGACTCTGGGGAATACTGAGCAGAGAGCATGAGTCATATGTGATGGAAATAATCAAACGTATACGTTCGAATGTGGAGAAATGTAACCAGGGGGTTTAACTTTAACTGTTTAAATGTCAGTTGTGTCACTCAGATGAAACTATGTCAGCTTTCCATTAAAACTGGAGCTCTGACTGCAGTCACACCTCCTCTGTCAGGTGACTCCATCTTTTAGCAGGCACCTAGGGATAAATAACCCACATTCTGGTAAATGACTGACCGGGGCTATACTGTCTTGTAGGAGTAAGTGAAATAGATACATTTTCCCATCATAATTTCTGGGTTTTTATATTGAAATACTGATCTCTATTTTATATATTAGGTTAATAAATCAAATTAAATGTTTTACATATTGAGGGACCGGATCACTGTTATGCAACAATCATGAAAAAATACTCCTAAAACTGATACAATAAAAACTGCCAAACATTACAGTTTAAATGGGAAGGTGCAATCTCTGGCAAAAAAAAAAAAAAAATTACAGTGATATTACAGCTTCCCTGCTGTCACTTGACAACAAGAAGAAGTAGTGGCATTTTCTGTTGTTCCTGTTTTTGAAATATATCAGAAGCACAATAAATATCTGTGTATGCACACTGTAGTCAAACAGGATGACGGTTAATCTGTATCTGCAGGTAAATAACTGAAGTAAATGACTTGAATGCTTCCTGGAGACATAAACTGGATTTGGGACTTTTCAGCTAAATGATAATAACAAAATGAAAATGGTATCATGTTAATGTTAAATAGGTGTGACATGTTAGCTCAGCATGTTAGCAGCACTAAACCAGAGCACTGGTGAAGTGATGTTTTGGCCTGATGGTGGCACAATGTGAAAAATCAAGATGTCACCAAAACTAGAGCCACTAATTTTTTAGAATTAAACCAAGTAAGTTAACAATCTCTTTTTCAAGGGAGACCTTAGGGTGATGTAAATGTTTAAAAGCAAATCTCTTACTTTGCTGACAAGTTCCATAGAGACTCCTTCTCACTGTGTAACTTGCCAAAATACATGTATTTGCAACATTTTGGTGCTGAACCGTTATCAGGAAAATGGCTTGCTATAGAGACAACAACCAATCACATTCTCCTCATGCTCTAGGAAGGCATGAACCCCAACACACGGTTCCCACGAAATGACAGTTTATTTTTTATTAACATACAGATATTTATTACACAGGCTATACATACTCTATGTGAAGTGCCTGGAGATGACACATGTTGTGAATTGATGCTTTGAAAATGAGACGTAACTATATGGTAAAAATCAGAAATGCATTCCAAACTTTTTCACATTAATAAATAAAATACAATGATGTGAATGTTCAAACCCCCTCCCCCCCAGGGCCAAACTGCATTCCCAGAAAAGACAGTGTATGTGTTCATATGTACATTAATGCTGCATGGATTTCTGAAAGCTGAGCTGCTGATTGTATCTATATAATGTGCTGGCAAGGGTCTTGATGTCAATCCTTCCTCTAGGCCATGTTAGATATTATCTGCTTTTATGTACAGTCATGGAAAAAAATCATTAGACCGCCCTTGTTTTCTTCAATTTCTTGTTCATTTTAATGCCTGGTACAACTAAAGGTACATTTGTTTGGACAAATATAATGATAAGAACAAAAATAGCTCCTAAGAGTTTAATTTAAGAGCTGATATCGAGCCATTTTCCAAGGTTTTCTTGATAATAACCAAAGTCACTTAGGTTCTTACACCAATATCTATGACACTGCACTGCCAAAAACAGTGCTTTCAGGCATTCCATGTTTTCTTTTCTGTCTGTTTCAGTCACATGATACACACAGGAGTCAGTACTTGATTCCATAATCATTGTTTTTGATGACTGCAGCCATGCATCTTGGTATGCTCTCCACGAGCTTCTGACATTGTTCAATTCGATTTAGATCTGGTGATTGAGCAGGCCAAGGCTTGGTTCCAATGTTCTGGTTCTCCATCCAGGCTTTAACTGACCTCGCCGTGTGGCTAGAGGCATTGTCTTGTTGTAAAATCCAGTCATTCGAGGCATGTGTAGTGCTGCTTATGACATGAAATGGCCTCTTATATACCCTGGGAATATAATTAAGCTTAAGCATGTCATAGGGACGTAAAGTATTATGTAATCAGCTGCATTTTTTTGTCATGTTCATTGTATTCTTCAGTGGTACCAGGCACTAAAACGAATGACAAATTGAAGAAAACAAGGGTGGTCTAATATTTTTTTCCATGACTATATATTTCATTCATTGAAGTTGCCTTTGGAGGCCTGTAGGATCTATTTACGGTATGTGAGCTCACTTTTTTAAATACAGTCATGACAGAGTAGAGGTCAATTGATGATTATTTTCAATATAAGGATGTAATGAGGCTGCAGGGTGGCGCAGTTGGTAGCACTGTTGTTGCCTCGCAGCAAGAAGGTTGTCGGTTCGTGTTCCGGTGGGGGCACCGGAATCTTTCTGTGTGGAGTTTGCATGTTCTCCCCATGCAGCGTAGGTTCTCTCCGGGTTCTCTGGCTTCCTCCCACACAGTCCAAAAACATGTTGAGGTTAATTGGTGATTCTAAATTGTCCATAGGTGTGAGTGTGCTTGGTTGTCTGTCTCTAAGTGTGGCCCTGTGATAGACTGGTGACCTGTCCAGGGTGTCCCCTGCCTTCGCATGTTCGCATGTTCTCCCCATGCAGCATGGGTTCTCTCCGAGTTCTCCGACTTCCTCCCACAAGGTCCAAAAACATGTTGAGGTTAATTGGTGATTCTAAGGTGTGAATATGAGTGTGCTTGGTTGTCTGTCTCTAAGTGTAGCCTGGATGGATATATTGTTGCAAATGCAGTTTGGCCCTTTGGTGTTTCAAGTGTCCACATTGTAGCATTTTACCTATTTAATGAGAACAATTTTGGGGTACATGTATGATTATTACTATCAAGAATATTTTCTAGAATTCTGTATGTTTTTATACATTGTCATTCAGTAGAAAGATGTTTTAGGCCTTCCTGAAGTACATGGGGAATGTTGACTGAGTTACAGCCTCTCCGTATTTTTGATGGATTCTCTTCGTAACAAACCATTTTCCTGCTGAAGGTCCAGCACCAAAACGTTATAAATAAATGCAGTTATTCAGCTTCGACAAGAGGCGGGAGTCTGAAACTTTTTGGTGTAGTTAAATACTGGAGACATTTTACTCAAAACTACAAATGTCAGTCTTGTGGGGGTGTTGGAGGAAAAGTTACCCACATCTGATCTTCTGGGACTCATCAGTATGTCTGCTTCCTAGAAATCCACCCAGTTGTTGTTGAGACTTTAAAATCTAAACATTTGGACATTGCCATCCTTAAAACAATGCTGATACACCATGACTAAAAAACAGTTTTCATGTACAGCTGAGTCCCTTTCAAAGTTTGATGAACTCTACAGTAAACATTGCAACATCAGAAAATCAATATTTGATTAGACACTGGTAGGGAGGGATTTCATAATAAATATTTAGCAAAGACAAACAGTAAGGGTGACCTGAATGTAGCAGAACTGGTTCAGTAAAAAGGCCCAGCAGGATTCGCAGCCACATGACCTAATCAGAAAAAATACTTGCTTTTCCTGTTTTGGTTTCAGATAAAACACACGGTCAAGCATCGCTAATTTTCATGTCTCATTTCATTTAAAGGGAGTGAAGATGAACCAGACAGGTGCTCCTCTGTGATCATCCTTCCAAAAAAGGAAAAATCACCAAATTTGGCTTTTTTTTTTTTGGCGTCACTTTCAGAGTTTGTTTTTGTCACTGACTATGAGTGGGTAATTCCAGACAGAGGCTTTGTCTATATAAGGAGGGAACCTTTGTGTTTACAGGTGTGAGGTATGATTATAGCTGTCTGTTGCCTGGCTACAACGCCCACGGGGGTTCCCACACCGGCAGGGACTCACCACAACAGCAAGCTGCAGCCACAAAGCAGCACTAACACCAAACTGTTGAAAGTGAAACTAGATGAGAAAAAGCGTTTTTTTTTTAAAATCGTTTTCATGAACCACAGCATCTTTTTTTACTCCCTAGGGTGAACTCGAGCACCATATAAGGGCCTCTGCAGCTTTCACGGGCAGATGTGTGGTTTATTACAGCACTTGTTATGATTGTTAGTGTTATCTAAAATCTTTATCAAGGAAATCCTGAGAAACAAACACCGTAATGTGAGTTATTGTGGAGTTTTGACACATTTCAGTGCTGTTTGGAGGCCAACACGTGATGTTAACTGTTTAACAAATGGAGTTAATTACATTTTAAAGTTCACTTTGCGTAACTTTTTAAATCAAGACAATTCTGGCTCCATCTTTTCGCAAATGGCGCCTTTATAGATTTACAGCATTTTGACTCCATCTACTGGACAAACACATTCACAACACCCTCAAAGGTGGCAAAAGTTTGGAGAATAAAGAATTAATTTGACATTTTGTTAAATATATCTGTTATTTTTCTAGCTCAAAGTTAAATGAGTTTGGATGGGAGAAGCATTTAGTTCCTTTACTTAAGATATAAACATCATTTTACACTAACGCAGCTGCTTGAAATAATTATTTTAACCATTTTACCTGACTTGCAGAGTAATAGAATACATAATACAACTCTACATACTAGTAATTTTTTTTTTTTAAATTTGCAGAAAAACAGATGTAATCAGATTAATGATACGTTTAGTGGAAGCAGGAATTATTAGCATGACTTTTAAAATGTATTTGAAAATTCTGACCACAGGAAAGTAACAGTCATTTTTTGATGAGTCTTTTGTCTCATCTTTATTTACATGTTTGGTGTTGAGGCAATCCAAAAGTCACAAAGTAATCAAATTATCAACACATTTTTTCTCCCACAGATATTCAGTAAACATGTTTGAATCATCGCAAATAAATGTAGCTTTCAAAGTTAGACGGTATGCGGCAGTATTTGTCATATGCTCGATCCTCCCCATGCACCTGTGTCATGATATAAGTATGCCAAGAGTTTTTCTTTCTGCGTTTTTATTGTTAGCGTCTTATATTGTGCAGAACACTTTGGTCAACGCATTTCAAACTGTGTTACATTAGACAATCGATTTGACTATTTCATGAAGTGTTGATGAGTTGATGTGTAAAATTATAATCTGTACAGTAAATAATGACTTGTAAGTAATTACTGCTCATGTGCTTTGCTGTATGGTGTTATGCATGGTTACATATAACGAATGGTTAATGTCAACAGTTTTATACTCCCTTATTCCCTACATGACTGGTGCATCGTCTTGCACATGCTGGTTTTGTTGCTTCCAGAGCATCTCATTGTGTCGTTTGCTTTGATCATCTTCACAGGTTTTACAGCATCATGCAAAAGGACTGAAGTGGAAACTTAGCTGGCGAGTAAACACTGGCACATCTAAAAGAATATTGATTAATATACACAAAGTATGTTGTTCTTATAAATAAAATCAAAAGAAATGAAATCAAAATTAAATCTTAATCTGTAAAGATGTAGCAACAATCCAGGTGGTCAGCTTATCCCAGCGTTAAGACTGAAATAAAGATGACTCAAGAACTTACCAGTAAACCCAAGAACTAGTTTGGTGCATTTCCTTGTGTAAAAGAGCAAGTTGTGATTTTTATACTTCTATTTACCAACAAATCAAACTAATGAGATAGATAGTCTTTTATGACATTTACAGATGCTGAATGACAGATTTTCGTACCTTAGGAGAGAACCTGGATAACTGTTTCCCCCTGTGTCTAGTCCTTATGCTAAGCTAAGCTAATTGCCAGTTGGTTCCAGCTCTATAATTACTGTACAGATGATCAATCATACCTATTTCTTTAAGTTATTTTTGCTTACAAACCAGGAGCCTAAACATATTCAGTAAATCTGTGAACTGTATCATTAGTGGTGTGATTAAACTGTCATTTGAACAGACGAGCAAAACAAGGTTTAAGAAATAAAAAGGAAATCTTTATTTTATTTTTTTTTAGGTGTCCTATACTTACCACAGCTGGCTGGGGAGAATTTACACTGATACTGAAGCTTTTCCCTCAATTCCTGAATTACATCATGTAAGACTGTTCACTGTCAGGGGAGATACACCACAACTGAAATAAATATGCTTTAGTCCAATATGACTTCAGTTCTTTGGCCACTTCCACCTTTGTATCCGGCCAGATGGAAATAAAAGCAGAAACTGCAGGAGTTCTCCAGGGCGTGCAGTCAGGACTGAAAATGGTGACTCAATCTCCCACCCCCATCTGGGGAAGCTTGATAGTTCAACCTACTTAATCTTTTAGTCTTAGACGGTTCAGGTGGTCACTTCTTGTCTGTGACATGTGGCTCCAGCATCTTCCTCATGTGAAGCTCCTCCACCAGCTTGTCCACATAGACTTTAAATAAAGGCTCAGGTTCCTGAGAGACAGAATGAAACACCGTTAGAAGGCAAAGAGAAACATTAACTCTACTGTTTCGTTTCTAACAGTTGTAAAGCAAAAGAGTCAAAACTCATGTCTGGTCACTTTAACTTAATAAATCAAAGTAGACTTGTAGGGGGGTGGCTTGTTTTGGACAGAGGATGAACCGTTTGGCTTCTTCGAGGGCCAGTATGATTAACATCCATCCATTATCTATGCACCGCTTAATCCTCACTAGGGTCGCGGGGGGGCTGGAGCCTATCCAAGCTGACTCAGGGCGAAGCCTGGACAGGTCGCCAGTCCATCAAGACAGACAACCAAGCACACTCACATTCCCACCTACGGACAATTTAGAATCACCAATTAACCTCAACATGTTTTCGGAGGAAGCTGGCGAGAACATGCAAACTCCACGCAGAAAGATCCCCGGTGTCCTTACTGGGACGCGAACTGGCAACCTTCTTGCTGCGAGGCAACGGTGCTAACCACCGATCCACCTTGCAGCCAATGATAAACTTAAAAGGGTTTTTTTTTTTTTTTTTTTTTTTAAGAAGTGTGAATCTTGCAAAGCCACTACAGTGGAGTCAAACACTAAAAATATCAAACTAGAAATAAACATAACAGATCCTTTTTTAAAGTGACAATGGCAGTCTCACAAGGTTAAACATGCATAAACAAACAACAACAACAACAACAAACATGCAGTGAGACAAAGAGGAATTAAATGCACATCTTGCAGAGTTTTTTTTTTTTTTAGATTAATATCCCACCTTCTACTCACAAAGAACATAAAATTTGCTATATAAACCAAGAAACACTCTCAAAGAGACTGTTGTGGAAACAGCAATAATCAGATCAACAGTGTCTCCCTATTCTCTGTGTTTATTCATGCCAACTGCACAAATGCATAAATACATAATTTTTAAAAGTTTTAAAGAAAGCATGTGAGCAATCAAGAATGGAACAAGAGCTTATTTATTTGTCAAAGTTATCAAATGTGCAACGATTTAACTCTATTGTGGATGATTTTAACAGCAAAACAAATTTCATGAGTGATGCAGCCTGTGAGAGAACAGAAAATAGTTGTGTTCTTTGCTGTTGTAACACTTAACTCATCGCTGTTCTCTGTTGTACTCAAGTATTGCACAAGCATTACGACTCTTCTGTAAATGTGGTGCCATGATTAAATGTAGGAACGTCAAAAATCGATCACTTTAACAGAAGGCCTCAAAAAGCGACACATTACCTTGTACTCCAGCTGCCTCTGTTTCTCCACGGCCTCCTCCAGATTCAGACCGATCCACTCTGCCTCCTCCTCTGGGATCTCAAACTGCTGCTCAGACAGAATGAAATAAAACAAACACCACATTTGTTTTTTAAACTACCAAAACCTTCCCAACACATTTAGGATACCAAATAGATTCAAACACATGTAACCTACCTTGTATTTGTTGTAGACCTTTTCTCTTGTGACGGGGTCGTCGGGGTAAAGTTCTGTGTCTCTTCGTGCCAGACGAAGCAGCATCGCCCTCTTCAGGTCCATCCCCAGCTTGGAGTTCAGGTCTTCTTTCGGTGTCTAAAAGAAGTTGGACATTAGAGTCACATGGAAAACTCAATCGGGAAAGTCATTTCAGTCTACGAGGATAGTTTCCTCTTACTTTGAGTATATAGAAGTCAAAGCCAAAGGCAGCGTCGATGAAGTTCAGAGTGCGAGCTGTGACTGTGATGGTGAACTTGTGATTGAGGATCTCACTGTACAGGTCTCTCTTAAGCAGCTGTGGTTTCCAGGTCTTCCGCATACGATTGGACATCTAAGCAGAGACACAATTCAGATCTCAGTTAACATTAGAAAGATAATTCTTGGAGTGATGTCCGGAGAACAAAAACTTGGAGCCCATCTGACCCAGAGACTCCACAAGGGTTGGGTTCTATGAACTCCTGCTTGGTGCATCGGCACAGATAACGGTCAGACCCACATTAGGTTGGTGATTCTTGGGTGGCAATATTAAAAGATGGTATGTTAATATCAAACAATTGTTTCTAAATAACAGAAAAAAACAAATATGTGACATCTACTTGACAATCCCCTTTCCTGCAGCAAAAAAATAAATAAATAGAACATGTGAGAAACACTGACAACATTATCCTAATTGAAGAAAAGTATTTTTGAGCTTAATGTTAGTTTACTGATAAAGTTTGAGCTGAATTGGGTTTGAATTCTCAGAAAGCACTAAGGATATTCAAAATAAATAAAATAATATACATTATAAGTGACTGACTTTAACACTTTGAGGTCATGTGATTTTTCCTTACAATGACGTAGTAGTAAAGGTTTGTTCCTTTGACAAAACATAAATAGCATGACTTTAGAAGGCTCGTGTTTACCACTTTGTTCTTTGAATTTCATATCTAAAAATATGTATTCAATGACATTTTTGTTTTTTGGATCACTTTGGTTGGATATAAACCATGTGAGTCTCTACCAAGCTCAGCTGCTTGATGCAGTATCGTTCAAATGAAGTTGCATGACCATCGTGGTACTACAGTCTACCAATCACTGAGTAACAACAACAACAATCACAAATTCAAGAGAAAATCAAAACCCCAACTTTCTGTGGCAACACCAAGACAGAAAATCATCTTCCTGGAGACTCACTTTGTCATTGTTGGCATATCTGTAGCCTGATATCCAGCCTTCTCCTCCCCATAGGCCGTCTTGGGAGTGGGGAGGGTAGTAGATGGGGATTGGGACATCTTGTACCCGTTCCTTCAATCCGGTCTTCGGGTTGGCTCGGTACTCAACACCCAGGGGCCTCCAGTGGACAGGCGTGGGCTCTTTCTTCTCGAGGGACTTGAGGTAGTGTTGAGGGAGACGAGCATAGATGCCCTGCTTCATTTTCAGGGCATCCCACATTTTGGGGGGGTATTTATGCAGAGGCATGATGTATTATGCTTTTAACAGCCAAATCTGAAAGAAAGAAGAGGGACAAGACAAAACATGATCACTTAGTTATTGCAGGCAATCAATCGGAAAATCGGTGGTTCTTTGTTGCCTGGAAGTAGGGAAAATGTTTGAATAAGTCAGTCCAAAGCTGAAACACAAAACTGTCTGTGCACACTGAAATGATTAACCAACAACCAACATTTCAAATATCTATAGCCTAAACAAATCTGAATAATGCCCCTCACAATGTTCAGTTGTTGGTTTAGTGTGTCCAAAAACCACATAATGTTCAATTTACAAAGAGGTAAACTGAAAACGCAACAATATCTGACATTGAAGGAGCAGGAGATAGTGAATGTCTGGCTTTTTCCTTATAAACTGACCTAAATGACAAGCCAGTTTGCATTTTTAGTAGGAACTTTGGGAGCCTTTTTAGTAGGAACTTTGGGAGCCTTATCATTTCAGTTGTTGAATCATTGCTGTTGATCACAAAATCAATCTGATGATGGACTGGAGCACCTGGAGCAGTTTCCCTCTTTGCCTATTTATTTATTTATTTTTTGTTATTTCAGCGTTGTTACCATTTTTCTGTCTCCACACTGGTTGTTTTTGGCCCACATAAAGTATATAAAACAATCACTTGAGACTCAAATAACCTGGGATTGACTAGACGCAACGACAAATAAACAAGGAAAACGTATGGATTAATGGATACTACACTACATGTCTAATGTGATGAGGACAACTTAAGACTGCTAATAGATTCCCTGACACTATAATTGAGTTTCTAGCTCTGGTTGCTTTGACAACATACAACTCTTTAAATGTAATCAGTTTCAATTTCAAGAAACTAACTCACAAGTACAGTTGAATGACTTCCATAACGTTAGCAGGACGCTCACTAACGCAGGCTAGCAACGGAGCTATACATGGGTCAATTTGCTAAAACAAGACTTCTATGCGTCCGATAGACAGTCAAGAATATGTTCAGAAGTTCTTACCGGTAACCTTAACCTCCACCAGACAAGGATTTATGTTTTAAAATGCACGTTATCTCAAATTGAAGCAGGCAAGGACATCGTGCATCTTCCAGTACACAGGTCGACTTCCGCTTTCATCGGTCCGTCTGCACAGACAAGGAAGATGATTGGATGGCGGAGAGAAGATTTTTGCAAATGATTGGCTTACACGGGCTGTCAATCAATATTTTTCTTCCGGGCAAAGGGGATGTAGATAACAATAATCTCGAGTATTTTAAAGTAGAGTTATATTTATTTACATTTTTTGATAGTTAAATTCTATAAATTTCCAACCCTCAGTATACATACAAATGTACACATTTGTACGTTTTTCTTCGTCAGTTTTATTTTATTTTATTTTTAAAAAGAATTCCTGCTGGTCTTTTTCCTTTAGACCTACAATTTTGGATGTATGACAAGCTTTTCAAATTGCATCCCAAATATGCTACAAATATGTGCCACCAGAAGTTTAATTAGAATCATTTAATTTAAATCTACATTACTTAACTTGAATGACTGCATTTATAAAAAATAAATCAGAATTACATAACTCGAAATTTAGAGTATTAAATTGTAACTGAATTCACCTCCATACAGCATTTAAGCTGCATTTTTATTGAGCGTGAAAACAACAAACTTAAATCACTAAATATAAATCTAACAGCAGGCACAGACTTGTCTAAGTAAAAGAGGGTTTCCTGGATTTAAAGTCAATCAGAAGATCTTTAAACAAATTACATTTCTGCATGTTTGCCGTCAAATTTACTCTAAGGTTGTCCTTTTTAAAATTTTCATGAGCTCTTATCCGTTATTCCATTGCATGTCCTGATATTTTATACCGGTTTACTTGGGCAGATATTGTATTAAAGTAAGTATATTGCGACAACACTGTTCCATATTTAACATTTTAAATCAGGTCTTGATTTTCAAATTACATTTTTTGACACAATTATATGCATTTGAACAACTCAAATACAAAAAATGTGATTCAAATTGAATTTTCTAGTGGCACATATTTCTGCCCATACTCTATCAGCTTGTATATTTTGGTATACAAAAAAATAATAATCTTAGTCTGTAAAATAACCCACAATGTTGCTGAAATATACATTTAATTCAGTAAAGTTGCAATATAATAAAGGCATTTGGATGAAGATGAATAGCAGAGAAGATGAGGCCGCTGCTGTGGGGCTTTTATTGTGAAGGGCGGAACTTGACAGGAGGAAATTTTAACGGTTAAAAAGGAAACAAGGAGTCTGGGCTGTTTTCTGTAAATTCAACAAGAAAATACAAGAACGACAAGTGTTCAATACAAAATTCGAACTGCAACGACCACTTCCACAACGTCGGGAGGATGTCATCCGCCCGAAAGGTGGAATTGAACCACTCTGCCGCTAAGCAGCTACAGGTTTGAAGCCTGCACCCCGGACCACCGAGGCTCATCCGGGCATTTTCTAACAGGGCGCACCATGAGTATAAATACCTTAGCTCTGCGGTGTGTGTCTGACTCAGGGTGTAAAAAAAATTACATTTGCTAATTCAGATTTATCAAAAACAGACTGTATAAAGTGTGATTAGACGCTCCATGTCCTGCCTTGTATTTCTGCCAAATAAACATAAAAGCGAGACATGTACTCGAGTCTGTGCTGTGTTATGCAAATTGAGCGCATTCTTATTGGCTGCCTGAAAACACAAACGACGCGTCATCACATGCGACGGACAAACTGCAAACAGAAACCATAGACTTATATTTTATGCTATATATTTTACACAGTCTACGGTAGAAACAGGTGAAACTAATTTTAGAAAACAATTATCGAGTATACAACCATCTTAGCCATTTGAACCATGTCTTTAAGTATACATGTGGAAATATATAATCACACAAACTAAAACAATCACAATGTTGAAATCATTTCTGAGGAGAGACTGTGTGTGAACTGTCCAAGGCAGCTTGGATATATTGTTTTGTACATGTTAAAAAGTAATTCTGGACACAGATTCGCATCACTGCATAGCTAACATTTAATTTGTTTGATTTAGATACACCCATTATTTTGTTAATAATGTAACACTATGGGTCTTTATAGCTTTTCAAGTGCTACAACAAAATGCAACACTGGTTTTATCCTTGTAATGTTTCAAGTGCAATAACAAGTTATCTTTATAACTTTCATCTACAATCCTGCACACCACTCACATCCTGTAATTTGGGTACAGTTATCCATTATATCTACAATTTGTGAAAGGTGTAAATAATCTACTATTGTCTTTATTTTTTACTTTTAATGCAAAATGTTTAAGAATAAGCTTATAAGTTACCAACAAAATGTTTTAAAATGATTTAAAATGTGTCCCTATTATGCTGCATGACCCATTTAATATACCCATATTACTGGATCATTATGATTAACATATTAGTAAGTTGTACTTTATTGTAGCAGTTGGTTGAGGTATTACTAATTTCATCAATTGTCTACTGAATTCACACACTGTTGGGTTAAAGAATCTATAATAATATGTCTTCTTTTCGGTGACACTTCTATTTTCCTGTGTGAGAACATAAGAGACAGTTTAGCATCATCATTTATTTTTGTTTCAATTCAAACATTAGTGAGAATGCAGAGCTTCCAGGTATAAATGAAACAACACTAAAAAATAAAGTCTTCATTTTCACAGATTTTCGCTTGACATTACATAGAAATGTTTGGAGTAGCACCTTGTTAATGTTACAACAACGCTTAAGACGAGATACACTTATTCACATCTGTTCATTTCCCCATCCTCACCCTTTCATCAGCGCATGGATGTTATATGTCATTTACGCTCTTTGCCCTGTAGTCTGGCAGCCAAAGGTCGAATTCTTGAGATTTATGGTATAATGGTAACCCTTGTGCTAGTTAACAAAACAACAGTACAGCCAACACTTCTCAGGTCTTTCTAATGAATTCACTGGACACAAAAAGTTTAATCTTGGTCAAAAATATTATTGCTTCATGGTAAAAAAGAATAAAGTAATAAGACAGTTTGAATTGTGGTCCTTCACAGCAGCTAAACTACACACCGTCTTAAATACTTAAAATTGCTCAAGGGTGACAGGTCCACTCCACTGTAGGTGTCATGATATACAAAACAATGATAAATGATCAGCAGAGAAAAAAACAATATCGCAGAACCTCTTGGCTGTCAGACTACAAGTGTGATTCTTTGGTTAAAACTGAGTCAGACGAAGGTGTTTTCTATGACCAGAGCATGAGGCTCTTCCTTCAGTTCCCCAGACGGTGGCGCAATCAGGCTCCGGGTCTCCTCCTCCAGCAGAGAGCAGCACATATTCCCAGCACAGGCTTTTCCACAGGCAAGGCTGCAGGCCGGGAGAGGAGGCAGGGAGGGGTCCTCTCTGTGGACGAGGGGGGAGGCGTCACCGTCGCTGCCTGCACAGAAACCAGAGCAGGAGGCAAACTCTGGCTGAACGGTGCAGCAGCTCACTCCTACACTCTGCAGCACTTTAGTGACCCCCGACATCAGATCAGCACACCTGGGCACATGAAATTATTTTGCATTAATAAAATGTAGAGTTTTTAATCAGGACAAAACACAATAAGGATAACCAGTGGATATAATATATATATATATATATAATCTAAATATATGAAATTGTTCTTAAAATTTGATGATTTGAGATGGAATAACCCAAATACAAACAAGCTAGAGCTATTTTTCTCCCTACACCAGAAGGATGATGTGGTGCAGTCAGACCATTCTACACATTCATTGTAATGCAAAGACAAACTTCCCCTCTTTACCTGTGTGCAGGAAGCCCAGCGTAGCAGTGCACATGGACAGAAGCCACCAGCAGAGACTCAGTCAGCTGCCAGACGTGAAGGTCGTGCACAGCCTGCACTCCAGGAACACTCGCAATCTTCCGTCCAAGATCAGACACACAAACTTGTGGAGGTGAGGCCTGTAGCAGCAGCAGTCCGTACCGATACACCTGCAGAGATTTGCTTGTAATTAGTGGGTTAATCTACATTTGGTCTTTAAACATGAAATAACCACACAGAGCCTGACCTGTGGCATAGTTGTGGCAATCAGTGTGATCACTGCCAGCAGAGAGAGGCCAGGATCCAGGTAGACCAGGAGGCCACAGGCTCCAGAGCTGTGCAGGAACTGTGGCGTGATCAGCAGCATCACCAGGCTGTTGATCAGAGCCAGAATGGACGTAAAAAGTCCCTGAGTAGCAAAGACGAACGACAGGAAGCAGACTGGCCACTGGGTGATTGGTTCAGATCTCTCAGTGAGATATGATGACTGGCAGGTTGGGGAGGTTTGAGGGACATTTTGACTGTCTGGGATGAGAGAAAACAACGAAACATGAAAAACTTTTGCACATCAGAGCTGATAGGAAATAAAACGGCGAGACATAAAAAAATAAAAAAACAAAAAAACAAAAAACCCCATCACATCTTTGGTCTGTTTTTTGAACAGAGCCCTGAAAAGATATTTCACATAAAGTTCAAACAAATTTAACTCAAATCAATATCAAATTATTGTCAAAAAATAAATTTCTCATTTTGATATTTTTGCACAAAATCACATGCAATTGCTCAAGGGTGATAAATAATAAAATCATTTACTGCCCAGTGAGGGCCTGTCCATATGACTTATTACTACAGACAGAGAAAGTTTTCTCTGTGATTCAAACAACATTTGTTTTGATGGGAAGTTAATTCTTGGAAATGGAAGCAGCAAATGGCAAAAGCACAAAACAAAGACGCTTTAGTAACCGTTCTGGAGCTGCAAGTCAGATGAAGTTTTGATGTTTTGCAGACTCCAGTATGTACCTGTATAACTAGTATTTAAGCTCAATGTCTGCAATTTCAATCCAACTGAACAAAATTTTATCTACCAAGGAAGATTGTGTGATGTGCAGAGCAGCAATTAAAGGACTTTGCTAAGTTTTTTTTGACAGTGTTTTGGACATGACATCTGCAAATACACACATTGCCCATCACAAATAGAAAGTTTTGATTTGGCAACTAAGCCCAGGTTTTAAAAAAACATGTGCATTAAATACGGATGTGTTTTTTTTTTATTGTGGTTTTTGTCTATACTGAAGTGATAATGGGGGACAGCCTACAAAGAGCTGCACTCTCTTACCAACATGTCCCCTGCAGATGTTGCGTTTCAGTCCCTCTGAAACGTCTGTTGAAGGACTTTCACACTCGTAAGCCTTTGGATCTTCAGCACCACTCCCTTCTTCACAGCCATGCAGGTGGACTTCTGGCTGTTGCTGTGGAGTTTGGGAGTCGGTGTCAGGGGCGCTGGAGGTTCCTGGATTACAGAGGAGAAATGCCCCACTGTGGAGCGAATCGTCCACAGCAGACTGGACTTTTGATTGGCTGATGTCTTTGGATTCCTCCTGGCCTATGGATTCCTCTTCAGCCAAGACTGTGGGAGTCGAACAGAGGAATGAAAAACAAACATGGACGCTGTTTGATCTTCCTTACAGCTGAATATACACTGAGCCGCTACATTATGGTAAAATCTGCCTGAGCAATATCATCACCTGGACACATAATGATAATATAATAGCATGCTTTTACACTAACTATCTTAAATTTTTTATTCCATTTTAGTCCTGGTATTAAACATACTTTTGGTAGAAACATGATATTTGTGCCTATAAAATCACATGTAAAACTTTTTTAGCTTGTGTGTTCATGTTACTTATTCAGGGTCTCCATCCAATGAAAATCAAGTGTTTATCTTGTTATAATTTCATTCAGTGTCGTTTTTTTTTTTGCCTCCAGACCTTCTGGGTTTCACCCATAGCAAACCTAAAGAACCAATCCTGCCAGCTTGCAGATCGAATCTTTCATTGTCAGTCTTCTTCTTCAGAATTGAAAATGTACAGCTGAAATACTCCAGTATCACAATTTGTCTTTGTGTGCAGAGCGCAGAGTAGTTTTACAGTGTGAGGGGAGCTGGTGTGCTCGAACTGCAGCAAGTGGTGGAGGAATGGTAGAGAAAGAGGCGGCAACTTTATAGATCTGAACAATCTAAAAGAGGCAATAGACTAGCGTTACATCTAAGCCATTTTAAAACAGGAAGGGATCATTTTTATGGAAAAAAAAAATTCGTTTGAGTGACTTTATAATACAATGATATTCAAAAAAACAATCAAATAATATTTTTATGCTGTTGGAAATTCCAACATTCGAGAGACCAGGATTACAGCAAGGTTGTTTATTGGCATGACATTTCACATGTTTAATGAGTTGTCAACTACTGTAGTTAATTTAAACTAAGCAGAATATGGATCTGGGTGTCCAAGTTGAAAATCTGAGGATCTAGGATCTCCCCTATCTGGTATCACATGAGCTTAGCTCAGCATTTTTACACATTGCTTTTTTAAAAATTATTTTTGTTGAAGAAACTAATGACACATAATGAATTTCTTCATGTACCTGAAGGTGGCTAGTAGGTGGATTTTGTTATCTTTGACCTATGTTAAGCTGTTTCCCCTACTTCTAGTCTTTAAGCTAAGATAACAAGTTTACCATACACTGACAAGCCAAGTCATCATTTTCTGCATAGCGTTTTTAAGATAATGGCTGTTGTACCAAAGTGCTTACCAGTAGAAAGACCTACAGTGTCATTTACGATGTGATTTTTACCAAAACAGTTTACATATTGGGGATTAAAGCCATAAGCAAATCATTGACTGTAATTCTGTCAGTTCAAACTGTGAATGCTCTGCAGCACTGACCACATCAACAGCAAATGGGTTTGTAAAAAAGGTCAAACCCAAATTTATGGGTCTAAAAGTTGGGACAACAGACAAGTGTCCCGAGTTGTTCAGTACAGCAGACCCTCAAATGCAACCGGACAAAGCAGCACTTTTTGTGCTGGGGTTGCTCAAAGGACCAACAGAGGTGACTTCTGCTGCTACTGCAACGGCCAGAGTAGTTGTGGTCGTAAGGTCTCTGGTGCCTGTCGCGGCGGCAATCCCCGAACCCGGTGGTGGCAGCCAGAAGTAAGGGATGCCGTCAAGCTGAAGAAGGAGTCCTATCGGTCATTTTTGGCTTGTGGGACTCCTGAGGCAGCTGACAGGTACCGGCAGGCCAAGCGTGCGGCAGCTCGAGCGGTTGCAGAGGCAAAAACTCGGGTCTGGGAGGAGTTTGGGGAGGCCATGGAGGAGGACTATCGGTCGGCCTCGAAGAAATTCTGGCAAACCGTCCGGCGCCTCAGGAGGGGAAAGCAGCTCTCCACCAACACTGTTTACAGTGCAGGTGGGGACCTCCTGACCTTGACTGGGGAGGTCGTTGGGCGGTGGAAGGAATACTTCGAGGGTCTCCTCAATCCCGCCGTCACGTCTTCAGAAGAGGAAGCAGAGACTGTGGACTCAGAGGCGGACTCATCCATCACCCGGGCAGAAGTCACGGAGGTGGTTAGAAAGCTCCTCGGTGGCAGAGCTCCAGGGGTGGATGAGATCCATCCTGAATACCTCAAGTCTCTGGATGTTGTGGGACTGTCCTGGTTGACACGGGGGTTGACCGGGGTGGTGGTCCCTCTGTTTAAGAAGGGGGACCGGAGGGTGTGTTCCAACTACAGAGGGATCACACTCCTCAGCCTCCCCGGTAAGGTTTATTCCAGGGTACTGGAGAGGAGGATCCGACCGATAGTCGAACCTCGGATTCAGGAGGAGCAGTCTGGTTTTCGTCCCGGTCGCAGCACACTGGACCAGCTCTATACCCTCCATCGGGTGCTCGAGGGCTCATGGGAGTTTGCCCAACCAGTCTACATGTGTTTTGTGGATCTGGAGAAGGCATTCGACCGTGTTCCTCGTGGTGTCCTGTGGGGGTGCTTTGGGAGTATGGGGTCCAGGGCCCTCTGTTAAGAGCTGTCCGTTCCCTGTACGACCGCAGCAGAAGCATGGTTCGCATTGCCGGTTATAAGTCAGACCTGTTCCCAGTGCGTGTTGGCCTCCGCCAGGGCTGCCCTTTGTCACCGGTTCTGTTCATTATTTTTATGGACAGAATTTCTCGGCGCAGCCAGGGGGAGGAAGGGGTTCGGTTTGGGAACCACAGAATTTAATCTCTGCTGTTTGCAGATGATGTTGTTCTGTTGGCTTCATCAAACCAGGACCTTCAGCGTGCACTGGGGCTGTTTGCAGCCGAGTGTGAGGCGAGCGGGATGAGGATCAGCACCTCCAAATCCGAGGCCATGGTTCTCAACCGCAAAAACGTGGCTTGCCCTCTCCGGGTCGGTGGAGACTCCTTGCCTCAAGTGGAGGAGTTCAAGTATCTTGGGGTCTTGTTCACGAGTGAGGGGCGGATGAAATGTGAGATTGACAGACAGATTGGTGCAGCGTCTGCAGTATTGAGGTCGCTGTACCGGACCATCATGGTGAAGAGAGAGTTGAGCAAGGGAGCAAAGCTCTCGATTTACCGGTCAATCTACGTCCCAACCCTCACCTATAGTCATGAGATCTGGGTAATGACCGAAAGAACGAGATCGTGGATACAAGCGGCCGAAATGAGTTTCCTCCGCAGGGTGGCTGGGCGCACCCTTAGAGATAGGGTGAGGAGCTCAGTCACACGGGAGGAGCTCGGAGTAGAGCTGCTGCTCCTCCGCATCGAAAGGAGCCAGTTGAGGTGGCTTGAGCATCTGCTTCGGATGTCTCCTGGACACCTCCCTGGGGAGGTGTTCCGGGCGCGTCCCACCGGGAGGAGACCTCGGGGAAGACCCAAGACACGCTGGGAGATTTTGTCTCCCAGATGGCCTGGGAACGCCTAGGGGTCCCCCTGGACGAGCTGGGGGAGGTGTGTGCGGATCGGGAAGTCTGGGCGGCTTTGCTAAGGCTGCTGCCTCCGCGACCCGACTCCGGATAAGCGGTAGAAGATGGATGGATGGATGGGATTAAAGTCGTACAATAGGTATATAAAATACTACATTACCTGGCTTTACTTATTAAGGCTGAGAATCTACAGTGTTATAAATTATGGATAATAACACAACTCTTGTAATATAGCTAAGACCCTGATAATCATGAATACTGGCCAAAATTCCCTCATTCTTGTAAAAACAGAGCTTCCCACGCATCTTCCAGCAAAACACAGCAGAAACAGATGCTTCTCAGTTCAAGGACAGCACATTTTCAGATTACAAAAAGGGGCCTTTTATTATGTAAACAGTTTGCACAATAAAAGCCTGTGAATTAAGCATCGTGCTCCACTCCCCTTTTGTACTCTGCAAATTCTGTCAACCTTCTCATCTTAACTCTGCAAGACGAGTGTGTTTCTGATCATATCAATCTTTCTTCAAAGTCAAATCAACACGAGAAACCTCATTAGATCCATAGTACATTGTTGTGCTATGTATGAATGCATTGTACCTGTTAAATAAATAAATAAATAAATAAAAAATAAATAAATCTGTGGTTTGCAGTCTGAAACTTGTGAATCTGCAGGTTTCCTATGACCTCCTTTGATTTCTTTGTTTAGGGTGCATGCCCAACCTGAAAATGCAGGTGAAAAAATAAAGCTCCCTCAAGCTCTCTTTTTCATATTTCTGCTCATTCACCACTCTTCACTCATCTTACCTTTGTGGTTCACTTGCAGGTGACATTCAGTCTCCAGCTGCCTGCCGCCTGCTGGCCTCTCGTCCCGCAGCTGATCCCAGTTCAGCCCAAACACCAGCATCTTATGGAGCAGGCCGGCAGCTCCGACCGCCACCAGCAGCAGGGGGTGCTGCACCGGGTGTGGCTCCAGAGAAAAACTGACAATTTCCAGTAGGTAGGAGATACACAGAGAAGCCAGGAGGAGGGCGGAAACGAAAACCCCCACGGCCTGGATCCTGCTGCTGGAGTAGTTCAGACCGCAGGTTGGAGCTGCAGGAGAGACTTTTTGGTCGACCAGTGAAGCTGCCTCATGGTTGGTCTGATCTGGGATGGCTGATCCTTCGATGGTGGTCTGGATACCAGGTGGAGGAGTGATGGATGACTCTTCTAAAGAGGAGGAAGCAGGTGGAGGAGACGCAGAGGAGTCCAGAGAGGAGAGCGGAGGTTTGATTGCAGTCTGATGGAGAGGAAGAGTCATGTGCATGAGGACGAAGAGCGTGTGGAAACCATCCACCAGCGTGATGAGGGATTTACACAGCTGACTGATGGCGATCTCACAAATCAGCAGCAGGACGGTCCCTCCCAGCATGCACCAGTGTAGCACCCTCATACCTGCAACTGAGAGGGCAGAGCTGCAATAAGATACATTCAAACACAAAGAATCACTCACATCCTCTATGTTGTGTGTTTTTAAAGGAGGCAAAAACAACAACAACAACAACAACAACAACAACAACAACAACAACAACAACACACAAATAAAGAGAAATCTGACTTCATCAGTGATTGGTATTTGCTCCTGACATGAGAAGTGGTTTGTGTCTTTTTGCAGAAGGCAACAATACATTTTGGATGTGTAGTGTTCAGTGATCACAAATAATTGTTAAAAATGTTGTCTAGCATCATCTGGAGACATGCATCACATAGATTTTCCTCCACATAGTTCATTTTCCAGGTCTAAAATTTCCTGCTCTGTGCATATTGAGGTCGGATTTCACAAATAATAACCACATTTAAGTGATCCTTATTAGAAATGGTCCTTATTTAAAATTTGTTCATGCACATATCAAGTTTTTGCAAGACAAGAAAACTGACATGAAGTTATTCAGAAGGTGAATACAAACCGTGTCATTGCTGCAACTGCGACCTGTTTAATGATTTTGACTTTTCTTGTCCAATATTTCAGCAAACACAACAAACACTAGCTGAAGTGAGTAATCGGTAAAAAATTCTATAAACTTTTTAAAGCTTGCAAAGAATCGCGATAAGTCTCTAAAATATTTATTATATCTACTGTAAGCTGCTGTTTGATGTTCTGTGTGCTTGTTTTGTCCATTTGAAGTGAATTCATTGTCAATGAATGCTGCAGATCCTGATCCTTAAAGTTCAAAAGTTACATTTAGGTTTTTTTCAGTTGTTTGTCATTTAAAACGATCCCCCTGTCCTGAAGACGTCTATGCTTTCCAGTGGAATGTTGCAGCACACGCAGTAACCACATACCACTGATTAGTTATGGTGCAACCATGACCCCTGAGCATGAGGCCCCAACCTGCAGAGAGCAATGTACAGTTTAATGCCTCAGTAAGTTTATTACTGTAACGTACACTGAATGCAGCCTTCGTGCATTGAGTGTTCTACTTTTGGTACTTGGATATTTAAGATTTGCAAAATAGTTTTTCTGCTCTGTGGTACTTGTACTTCAACCAGCATATAACACACAAAAAAACTTTGCACAAGCGGCGCAAATGCAACAAATGTAGTCAAAAGTTGAATTACCCAAGAGAAGTGGGAGACCCTCGGCCAGCAATCAAAGGCAAGTTGGATTCCTGGCTGTGATCTGTGCGTCCGAATCAGAAAAATGTCATTCATCGTGCTCACCATCTCTCCCTCTCTCTGTCCCACCACACTCCTCCTCTGCTCTAATCACAGTCATGTGAGCCGGGCAGGGGGGTGGCTGCTATCGTCCTCTCCTCAGTCATCCCTGTTTGCATTCCCTCCTCAGCTCGTTGGTGGGAGAAAACGCGTTCAGCGGACAAAGCCCACCCACTCTCTGTACACTCCCCTGAGTAGATCAAGTGAAGCTAATTTGCACTAATTAAATCCCCATTGTGTTGTCAGGATTACATAACCAGATCACATCAGAAGGTGAGACCTTCTGAGCTCTATTAGCCCTCAGAGCGTTTAGGATGCCTGCAGTATTATAGAGGCCTTACAGATGGGCTCACCAGAGGAGAGCAGAAAACCATAAAGCTTGACGTGTGCGCTGTTCAACACGCTGCTGTCTGTCTGTATCTTAGCAATGGTCAAATCAAATCAAATCAAATTTTATTAATATAGCACTTTTCATATGGTACAGCAACACAAAGTGCTTTACAGCATTTTAAAAACAACATAGCATTTAAAAACATATCATTTACAAACATTAAAACATTTAAGAGTCTTGTAACAGAAAACCCGTCCCTCCCACCCTCCATGCTTACATATACACATATGGCACATGCAGTCACACACATGCGCACAGACACACACACACCGCTTGACTAAAGGAAGCATGGCATGGCACTGAGGGATTGTGGGAAACGCTACCATTGGGGCCGTCCACACCGGGAGGAGTCGCAGACCATGACCACTGGGGGCGCCGACACCCGGACCCCCCCCCTCCCCCAACCAGCAGACAGGGGGATCCCCACAACGAGGTGGGGAGACACCAGGTGATGTTTTATCACTCAGGCTGACTGCAGGGAAATAATTGTAGGATACTGTGTGTACAGGCTACAGATTATTATGTTACTGCTGTAAAACAGAGCTGAACCCTGATGTGGGTTTTCCACCCCACAGTTAACCCTATTCAGGACTTTTGGGGTCTTTTGGACCCCGGGCCTTTTAGTTTAGGTGACAGGTATTGTTTTGTTTTTTTTATTCTTGAAGATTTTTTTTTTTAAATATAAAAAGAGGGACATTTGTCATGCATGTGGAACCAAAAATACGTCAGCTTATCAGAAACTTTACTTAACACAGTATAAAAGTCTATAATGAATACCAACAAATGTTCACACATATTCTTTCTAGGGGTCCAAAAGATCTTCTGGCAACATGAAAGTCCCTAACAGGGTTAATAAGAGTGGACAGTGTTGTTAAACAATGCATTAGTTCACTCTTGTTCTGTCCCCTGTTGACTTGTGATAACCACTTCATTATATCATTTGCAGCAGAAGTTGGCAGGTCGTTTCAGTCAAGGATCAGTTTTTAGGTGTTTTCTAGGAAAGGGCGAAATGCTTCCTGCAGATATGTTTTCATTTTTGGCTTTGGTTATTTCCTTTAACTATTCTAGGACTGCATCAAAAGGCAGGTGAGTAACAGTAGTGTGTTTCTATGTCTTTAGTTGTGTTGCACTATGTAAATATAGAGTAGGTTGTGTTAGGTGCCACAAGCTCACGCTTATTTGAATTTACATGATCCTTGCGATTACTTATCTACAGGCTACTGGTGAAAAAGTATGTTTTTCTGTTAAACTTAAGCTAGGTTGGGGTGCCAGATTTATCCAACCAATGATTTACAGGATCGGTTTGATACTAGATTAAAAAGAAATTAATAATAAAAAGTGTATATTCTCAATTTCAACATCTCCAAATGTCTCTAAATGTATTACGTTCCCCTTTGATTTATGGTTATTTCAATAAAAAGTCATTCTAACTGAACTGTGGATAATTTATGCAGGACATCCAGGATTCTTCCATTATCTTGGGTTAGATGGAAAACTTTCCAACCTAATTTTTGGCTTATCAGCAGCCACTATGCTCACAACAATAAAAGTTATGTAAAAACTGATAAAAGTTAGCCACACTCAGAAACTGGTCACAGCAGAGCAAATAAAGGTGTAGCAACACTGTAGGATATCATGACAGATCAGATCAACTTACCTTTTCTACTTTATGGAATGTAAATATATGAGTTTTACAAATTTCTAGTTAATTGAACCGTTAAGGTGTTTTTAAAGTTTTATTTTCAGACCACATTAGAGATTCAAAACATGAGGTCTTATAACTGGAGGCATTCTGACTTAGTGGAATGAATGAATGGATGAGCATTTACTCAAACCAATAAATACAGTTTATGAGACACAAAACTAGCAAGTAAGCAGATATCCCAGCATGCACTGGTTGAGAGCAAAAATGGAAACTGGAATTGACCAGACAATTTGAGAATACTCCACACGGGGATGTGTTAGCAACCTGTAAATCTCAAGGACGCCTTGCTGGAACCTTACCATGCTTTATTGTCTATTTTACTATTAATAGAAATATAATGTTCAAAATTAAACATTTCACTATATTGAATGAGACTTAAAAGTATGGATTGAGACCATAAACTCATTAGAAAATGTTTACTTAGGTGCAAATAAAGTTAAAAGTTGGGTTGTTGTCTTATTTACTTCTATAAAATCCAGTTCTTTTTGCAACCAGAGGAGCTGCCCCCTGCTGGCCGTTAGCCAGAATGCAGGTTTAAAGCACTCACTTAACTTTTCAGACTCAGAGGCCATGTCCATCCTTTATATACAGCCCATGGACAGCACTAGGATAGTTGCTTCCTCGTTTGCATTAAGCTAAAGTGTCATCTGGCTGTAGTAAATTGTTATTGTTATTATATCATTTTTATTAACATTGTTAGCTCTTTAGAGCTCTGTGGATGTGGTGCACCCTAGCTGTGCCCCTCTCATCATTGATGATGCTGCCGTCCCATCAGTCCCTGCTCCTGTGTGCAGGGGTTTGTTTCAGTCCACTGGACTGCGAATCAACAGGCCAGATAGGGGCTGACACCTCAGATAAATCCCTACTGTTCCACCAGCATGCCAGCACATTCCTGAGGTGCGGTTAAGCCCAAGGAAAGACCCAGCGAGGAAGCATTTGATCACTTGCCACTGTCCCCAAACTGAAAGAGGGGCCACAGACCTGACAGCATGGTTAAATCTTCAGCACCCACAAATCTGCCCGTAGCACTGGCTGTTCTTTCCCGTGGGAGCATTACTTTAAATTGAGTGTTTTTGCACACTTTAAGGCAGTCTGAAAACACACAACACTGGCATATTGTTGTCAAGTAAAGTTGTGCACACATCCAACAGACATGGAGCAACCTCAAGGTCTGGTTTCTGTTAGCTCCTGACAGAAATAGTTTGCTTATTAGCTGCTAAGTGCTCCACAGTTTTTACCAGCTTTAATGTAACTGTCTGTCAGAAGTGAGTACACCCCTTGACAAAATCAATGAAAGGTGAAAAGACTTCAAACAGCATCAGCTCCCTATATTTGTAATTTTTTGTAAACTGGCAAGTACAGAGTTTCTTATAAGCAGTCAAAAAATACACATACAGAAAGATGATAATAAAAATACAAGGCCTGAAGTAAAAACTGACACATGAGTTGGAAAACTTGTCATCACTGAAACAAAACTGAGTGCAGCTGTGATTTCCAATTAGCCCAGCTATATGGACATGATTATAAATGATCTGTTCTGTAAACGTTAATATCCTGGACCTATTTGCTGTGTCGGCATCATGGCTTCACATGAAAGATAAATTACGATTACAAACCTGATTCTGAAATTTCACAAAGGTTGAAAAGGATACAGGAGACTGATGACCAACTAAACA